GAAAAAGTAGAAAGTATATTGGTCTTAAGTTCTAATTCTCCCTCTGCTACTTATTAGCTTTGTTGCCCTTGGAATTTCACTTAGCCTCTCTGGATATCCTAGCCACAGCTGTAAAATGATGGCAAAATTAGGCTACTTTTCTACAGACTCTTAAAAAAATAACAGATTCAGATTTCTACAGTCTTCCAAAATATCTTATAAATCTTGGGTGTAATAAACATTCCCATGGATTAACCATTCTGGTTAGAAACAATCTGAAAAGTGTAGGCAAACTGTTATAACACTAACCACTTAAAAAATATATAATGTGGTCAGCTGCTGTAGCACATGCCTGTAATTCCAGCACCGGAGAGGCTGAGGCAGGAGGATCATGAGTTCAACACTAGCTTGGGGTACATAAGAGTTCAACCATAAAATATCACATGCCAACAAACTTTGGCTCAAAATACAACTTGGGCATACACAGTGAGGCCTTGTCTCAAAAAAACACAAAAACCCCCACCACAACCATGTTTAACTATATTTTTGCAAATTATATTAAATATTTCTTAGTAACTATACAGTTTTAACTTATCTAAGCATCCCAGTCAAAGATTATGCAACATACATTACACATACAGGCCACATGACTTGTTATGCAATAACTGCTAGAATATTCACCAAAGGACATTTCATTCTCACTCTAATCAGAAAATTAAGATCTAGGGGTGTTGGGGAGGCAAATAGAGGGAATTGAACTCAAGTTGTTTGGACTGGGCTACATCCCCAGCCTTCTATTTTTGTATTTTAAGACAGGGTCTCATTAAGGTGCTAAGTTACCCACCCTGGGGAGGAACTTTAAATCCTCCTTACTCAGTCTCTCAGAGTGCTGGGATGACAGAGTGCATCACATCACTTGCTCAGGGTGTTTTAAAGGGGGTGTTTCTTTCTGTAACATCAAAAATGAAATATTTTGTATTTCAAATGGCTCCTCATAAAATACTAGATGAAAAGAGATTTCACTTCAGTAAATCTTTATTTAGCTTTTTTTTTTTTGGTACCGGGGATCAAACTTGGGTCCTTGCCCTTGAGCAGCAGGCAGCGAAACCACTGAGCTAAATCCCCAGCCCCACTTCAGTAAATCTTAACATTGAATATCTCTGTAAATAAACAGCCTAATTTTGTGGAATTGCATCAAATCCTACATGTAAGTAATTCAGCTTCACAAACCTTTTGAGCAAGATAAATTACATTTATTAAACCTTAACATGTTCACAACCAGGCCATGGTTTGTACACTGCTGGGCAGCTTGATCCACCCATGTTACAGGCATGAATGTCCCATCATATAGCTTTTTATTAATTTTATTAGTAAACAGATTAACAACAGTGATGAAATCTGTTTGTAACGCCTATGGTATAAGCCACCCGATGAAACAGTCATGCAAATATCACCAATGGTTCAAGCCAGTGAGAACATTAAGGTAAATGTAGCGACATTTAAATTTCATGAATCTGTATTTAATTATCCAATTACATTTGATTTATTTACATAAAATTAACTTTTTACAAAAAGAAATTGTCTTTTCACATCTGGGAACTTACTTGGTGAATCAGAATAAATGGCCAGTTTTCTAAATGACACACACTGCTCAACACATTTGTGATTTCTACAAATCAAACATTTCTTGCACAAAAAAATTGTGTATTTGGTTTTTTAAAAAAAAGATGATTGCCAATTTTACTGCTTTAGATGCATTGCTTCTATCTAAAAATCTATAACCCTTTGATCATTATCCTTTTCTTCACTTTCAATATATTCCATATGACTCATAAATTAGTTTACAGTCTGAGGTTTAAAAAAAAGCGATGGCCAGGGCTGGGGATTCAGCTCAGTGGTGCCACCACCTGCCTTGCAAGTGCAAGGTCCCGAGTTTGATCCCCAGTACTTAAAAAAAAAGGGATGGCCAGGAGAAGATGGCACATGCCTATAATCCCAGCACTTCAGAGGCTGAGCCAGGAGGATCTCTGCAGAGTTCAAGGCCAGCCTGGGCTACACAGTGAGTTCAAGGCCAGCCTGAACTACATAGTGGAACCTGGTCTCAAAGGAAAAAAAAAAAAAAGGGATGAAATTTATCAAGGTATCCCCTTCAGTATTTTAAAGGGTACCACCAAGTACAGTCCAGCTTTTTCCTTATTTAAATTATTACTTTTACAGGATATAGTGTGATGTGTTGATACATATATTCAATCTGGGATAATTAAGTTAATTAACATATCCTCACTTTTTTGTGTGTGGTGATCAATTTATTTCTCTCTTTTTTTTTTGGTACCAAGGATCCAACTCAGGTCCTTGTGCTTTCGAGGCAGGCAGGCAGGCAGGCAGGCAGGCAGGCAGGCGGCAGCACCGCTGAGCTAAATCCCCGCCCCTGATTTATTTCTCTCAACAGGACCTATCCCTAGGGCATGGTGGTCAATGCCTGAAATTTCACCACTCTGGGAAGCTAAGGCAGGATGATCTCAAAGTCTAGCCCACTCTGGGCAATTTACTGACTTGGTGAGACACTGTCTCAAAATGAAAAATAAAAAAAGAGCTGGGGATGTAGTTTAGTGCAAAGGCTCTGGATTCAACCACTAGTACACAAAAAAACCCGACAAAAAACAAAAAACCAGAACCTATCTATACGATTATAATTCAAAAAGAATAGTCTAATATTAATAGTGGAGCGGCAGGGTTACTGTGAATTGAATAACTTTGCAGAAGTTTTCCTAATGGTATTAAGTAAAATAATGTAATGTAAAAGTCGGGGACCATCATGTGATGTTTACACAAACCATAAATACACCACTGTAGTCTACATTTGGAAATATCCTGAGAGTCCCTTCTCAATACTTTTCAGTTTCTGCATTAAATGGGTAGAGCCACTATAAATAACAACCGTTACTAGTAACCTATTCCTCCCGGCAGGCATGGTGCTAGCCACTTAACATTTTTCATCCACTTAATCCTCAGAGGAACACTGTAAGATGCATTACTATCTGCATTTAACAGATGAGAAAGCAAAGGCTCAAAAAGGATACAAGGCTGCTAAGGGGCTGATGCAGATTTCAAATCCAGAGTATCTTGACATCAGAATCCATGCTTATATTAAACTATACTACCTATTAAAGACATAAGCATAAAAATCAAGAAGTTTCTCAAAGATTTATTCAACATTCTTAGGTTCTCCACGCATAACTACTTCTCTGCAACAAATACAACTGATTGTAGTAACACACTTACCTATTGTAAATTAAATCAATCTTGCCAAAGAGATAGGATTTATAAGGTGACTCCAATTCTTATCTCAAAGAAATATCAGAAAATTCATTCCACTCATGCTAAAAAAGGCCTCACCTCTTCCATATCATACAAAGGTTCTTGGTTTTCTGTTTCTACTTGGTTTAGTTTGAGAAAGGGTCTATGTAGTTCAGGCTGGCCTTGAATTCACTATGTAGCCCACACAGGCTCCAAACTCTCAGCGATCTTCCCACCTCAACTTCCTCAGTACTGGGATTATAGGCACACACCACCACGCCCAGCCTCCATATCATATAAAAGCTCTAATATGAGTACATTCCCTAAAGTTTGTTTTGCCTTATTAGTTTTAGTAGCACTCTCAGATACACCGGTTCAAAAGACAGTCATTCCAAGAAAAAAGATATTACAAAAGGAGCCACACAAGTAGGCACTTTTCTTAATACTGTACTTATATGCAACATTCTTCAAAAAAGATTTGGATTTCTGTTAATCTATTGTTTTCTCCAAGTCTTACTCATCCCTGTTACTCTACTACAGCAAGGACTAAGAGTCACAAGCTACCTATTTTCTCCAAGAAAGCATCCGTGTTTGAATCACTGGTGTAACCAAACCAGTCTGACAGCTAGTTGCCTGTTAAATAAGGATTGTCATCTAAAAGGTGGAAGAAGCGCTCCCATCTCTCTTCAGAACCGTTCTCAAACTCAGCCCTGGCAAGTACAAAATCTTCAAAGACTCAATCAGATCAACTTTTGGTGTCTAAGTCAGGATTGAAGAGAAATCTTTCACTATTTCTTCTCCAACAAAAGAGGCAAAACTGAATAACCATCTTTCTACTCAATCAGGGCTGAATAAACACATTTTACAAGTTCTCACGGCAATTTCCCTCCCAGACACCCATTCCCTGAGCCTGAGCTATGTTCCTGTCTAGTCCCTTCCCTTCTCTCCAAGTGAGAAACGCCTAACCACTGTTTCTCAAGATAAAACTTTATGCTTACTGCAGATCCATCTTAGCAACTAGCTTAAAACAAAGAGCTCTGGAAAATCAAAGACTTTCTTACTCCTCGACTTAATAAAACTAGGTACTAGTGCGGACTAGGTGGAATTGTCTGTCCCTCCCTATCTTCTATCCATGAGCTCAGTAATCAGCCTGGTCTTCGACCCTCGCACAAGTGAAAATAAATAAGACGGGTCAAGCGGCCTACAGCATCCAGGAAGGCGGCCACACTGGTCTCCTGCTTTCACAATGGGTCCCAAGTGGCAACTTAAGAGAGGCTCTTCATTCTTTTGCTTTCTCAAAAAAACAGACTCGCCAAAATCCCACCCTTAAGAAAGTGACAGACTGGAGTTAACCCTCTGGCTACTGGCACAGACCACAAGGGAGGGAAACCACAACAGCCCCTACACACACACACACACTTTGAAAATGTGACAAGCTCGATTTAACCCTTTCAAAGCATCGGCCGCACTAAAGGCACAGTCCTTTTAAGGCTAAATGTAATTAAGCCTTCAGCTGCTGATCTCCGATTCACAATCTCCGCTGCTGCCAGCCCCAGGAAATTCCCAACTCCTGGCCCCCGAGAGGCGACAAGCCGGCTGGGCAGCCCCCTCTCACGCCACCGATCCCTCACGCAGAGAGCGGAGGGCCTAAGTCTGGCCTGGAGGGAGGGGCCCAGCCGGCTCGCTGGCTGAGAAACCGAGGCGGTGAGCTGGCGGGTGCTCACCGCGATGACATTGACGAAGGTGGTCTTGCCGGAGTACTGCAGCCCCACGAGGGTCAGCTCCATCTCCTCCTTCCAGAAGAGCGAGCGGAACCAGTCCAGCAGGCGGGAGATGAGAGCCAGCATGGTAAGGGCCTGGAGAGGACAGGAGGGAGGGCGGGCAAACGGCGACGGAGACGACTTCCACACGAACGAGCCTCGGCCTGGACCCCTTAACGGCTCCAGAGAACCCTGGAGCGACCCTGGCAGACACGGGAGGGCGGCGGCGGCCGGAGTCAGGAAGCCGAGCGGGTCATATGACTCGACCTACCCCACAAGCCCGTCCCGACACCGCCGCCAGCGCGCACTGCAAGAGCGGCGCAGCCTTCCTTTTCAATCACGACCGCCGCCTGCAGCGCCACCTGGTGCTACCAGCTCACAGTACATTATACTGGCATTCTGTTTATGGCCTCCCTGTAGAACTCCCTTATTCATTGTTGGTTCGTTAGTTGTTCAATCATTATTTGTTCATTCATCCGTCCATTCATTCACTTATCCATTCCATTTTTCTATAAGGGTTCATTGACAATGTACTCTGAAGGAAGACTTGAAGACGATGGAGGATTCAGCATAGAATATAAATCTCCAGCCTGTGTTTTAGGGAATAGCAAAGAAGAGAAGCAGCAAGTGTTTATGAGTAGGGAACTGGTTAAAGCAGAATGTGTCCTCAAGGCCAATATACGTAGCTTTCTGTGCCTTATATCTTATCTAGGCTACCTAACTTTAGGGCAAATAGCACTCACAGCCTTAATTGTAGCATCTCATCCTTGGTCCCAGCATCACTCTCCTTAGATCCAGCCACCTCCAAAAAGCCCCGCCTATGACTGTGTGAGGCTTTGGGGAGACATCTAGATACAAGCTATAACATTCCTATTTTCCGTCACTTTATAATGTGACCTCTTTGTGTATAGGGATGTAGTTTGGTGCTAGAGCACTTGCCTGGCATGTATACTACCTTAAGTTTCATCTGAGCACTGGCAAAAAAAAAAAAGTGAACATTTTTAGAAATAGGGTCATTACAGATATTATCAGTTGAGATCATACTGGAATGGGGTGGACATTTGATGCACTATGACTGGTGTCCTTTCAAAAGGAGAACAGACACAGTTACCAAAAAGCAAAGGCCATGTGACAAGCAAGGCAGAGATGGAAGTGTGGCAGGTGTGAGTCAGGCAACACCAAGGATTGCAAACAAGCTCCAGAAGCTGAAAGAGATGAAGAATTCTCCTCTGGAGCCTTCAGAGAAAGCCTTGCCCTGTGAGACTCTGACTCCAGACATCAGTCTCTACAAGTGTGAAACAATACATTTTGCGGTTCAGCCACCCAGTTTCTGGCACTTCTTTATGGCAGTCCTCACAAACTAACACAGATGGCAAGAGGGGAAGAAGTGTTGGAGCAGAGATCAGGGGCTACAGCCTTAGCTTAGGGAGTGAAGGTGATGGCTGGGACTATGCCTTTGTCAGCTCTTGGTTGTGGGCTGCCACATGGCCTCCTGTCCAACAGGAGAGACAGACAATGAACAAGTAAACACATAAGGTAACTTTATTTTTTTGTATTTAATTTGCAGTGCCAGAGTTCACAACTAGGCCCTCATGCTTGTAGGGCAACGCTGTCACTGGGCTACATCCATAGCCTAAGCTAATTTATTTTTTTAGTACATGAATGTAGTACATAATGATTATATTCATTGTGAGAAGTTGGAACATATACATAATACATATTAATCTTTTTACAACCCTTTTCCCCTGCTTTCTCTCACGCCTGCTACATTTTTGCTACCCTCCCTCCCTGATTTGCCATCTTTTTTCCCTCATTATCTGTGTTTTATTTTGCTCATCATTTATATTTTCAGTTTCTCAAATAAGACAAACCATGTGATATTTAAGTTTATGTGTCTGATTTCTTTCACTTAACTTTATGGTCTCAAGGTGCATCCATTTTCCTACAAATGACTCAAGGTTATCCTTCTCTGTGCCAGAGTAGTACTCCATTTATTTATTTGGACTTGCTATGTTTTTCTGATGTGGGTATTCACAGCCATATCCTTCCCTCTTAGGCCTGTTTTCATTATGTCCCATAGGTTTGGGTATGTTGTACTGGAATTGTTGTTTGATTCTAGGAACGCTCTAGTTTCTTCCTGGATTTTTTTTTTTCTGTGACCCATTTATGGTTCAAAAGAGTATTATTAAGTGGGAGAGGTAGGGGAAAGGAAAGAAGAGAATGGAATTAATATGAGAAAATGAAAAAAAGGAAACAAAGTCTTTGTAAATAGGGATGGATGGAGGGGTTGAAGGGAGGGCAGGGGAAGGGGGAAAAAATAAGAACCAAGAGAGTATGTAAAGGTGCATATCTCCAATGATGAATGTCATTATATTGCACATCTAAAATGTACCAATAAAAGGATATACAAAAAAAAGAGTATCATTTAATTTCTATGTGTTTGTATAGTTTCTGTGGTTTCTTTCAGCATTGATTTCTAGTTTTATTATGAGTTAATATATTCATGGGATAATTTCAGTTCTTTTGCATTTACTTAAACATTTATGGGTTAGCATGTGGTCTCTTTTGAAGAAAGTCCCAGTGCTCCTAGGAAGAATGTATTCTATTGTTGTTGTGTGGAACAATCTATTAAGTCCATTTGCTCAAAGATTCGGTTCAACCTTGATATTTCTTTGTTGATTTTCTTTTTTGTCCAGTTTATGTGTCTATTTGTGACAGTGGGTCATTCTGCATATTGTTGAGTTTTGTTTCATGATTAATTCTGCCAATCTGTGCCATTTGATTGGGGAATTCAGATCGATCATATTGAGAGTTATTACTGAAAGGTACTGGCTTATTCCTGTCATTGCATTATTCTCCTGTTGCTGATTTCCTTCCCTGGCCCCACTTCCTGCTTAACTGCTCACCCTGCCTTGTGTATGTATTCTGTTAGATTTTTTTTTTTTTTGGCATTGCTGCTTCTATGTATCTTTCTAGGATATCGTTGACAATTTTTTGTAGCATGAGTTTGGTGCTCATGAATTTCTTAAGGTACTCTTTATCATGGAAATACTTTATTTTTTATCAATTTTGAAAGAAAGTTTTATGGTATATATAAATTAGATTAGAAGTTGTTATCTTTTGGAGTTCCAAACACTTCACCTTAAGTGCTCCTGGCCTTTAAGTTTTGTGTTGAGAAATCTGGTGTAATTCTAATGGGTTTACCTTTATATGTGGCTCATTTCTTTTCTCTAATAGCAGTTTAGATTCTATCCCTGTGTTGGACTTCTGGGATTATGACTGTGATGTGGAGAGGTTTGCTTTTGATCATGGCTATTTGGGGTTTTCTATGCCTCACTTATCTGTATGTTTAATTCTTTCCCCACATTTTGAAAGTTTTCTGCTATTATTTCTGTAAACTGGTTTTTATGCCCTTTGTGCTGTCCTCTGATTTTTCACTTATTCCAATTTGTTTTAGATTATTCTTCTTTGTGTTATCTAGCAGCTGTTGAATCCATTTTTCATGTTCTCTTTTTGTTTTTAAGGTATTTCTGAGTAATTGGTATTTGAAAGCCACCCTATCTTCTCTCTCTTTTTTTTTTTTTTGGTACCGGAGATCGAACTCAGGACCTTGTGTTTCCAAGACAGGCACAGCGCCACCGAGCTAAATCCCCGACCCTTACATCCCTATCTTCTAATCTGATATCCTAATCCTAATCTGGCATTCATAGGTCATATCAGCTGCCCATACTTCCTAAATAATTTTTAATCTCCTGGATTTCTGTTTGGAACTTTTTCATGGAGTTTAGTTTGTTGCTAGACTGGTGATTCATATTCTCTATCATTTTGTGTAGCTCAGCTAGCTATTTTTTTTTGTACAGGGGATCAAACTCAGAACCTTGCGCTTTCGAGGCAGGCGGTGGCACCACTAAGGTAAATCTCTGGCCCTCAGCTAGCTTTTTATTAGTGTCTTCTGTAAACCCACAGGTTGTATTTTTTTTAATGGGGTTTTGCTATGTAGTTCAGGCTGGCCTTGAACTCACTAAGTAGGCCAAGCTGGCCTCAAACTAGTGGTGATCCTCCTGCCTCAGTCTGTCAAGTGCTGGAATTACACCATCACGTGCAGCTTGTTTTTTTTTTATTACCTCCATTATCTGATCAGTTATACTTTCTGTGAACCTGCCAAGCATAAGATTGATCTGGGTTTTTTTGTTTGTTTTGTTTTGGTACCCAGGATCAAACTTGGACCCTTCCGCTTTTGAGGCAGGCAGCAGAACCACTGAGCTAAATCCCCGGCCCAAGATTGATCTGTTTTTTAATCTCCTCTGTTATCCCTTCAAATAACTCACCTGGGTGGCTTTTGCTTTCCTCCCTCTCAATGCCCTATAGCTAAGCTTTGTGAGAATTGAGAGTTTTGGGAGGCATTTTGTTTCCTTGTCCTCTCATATTTCTATTTTTTTATTGTTGATTTATTCATTTTCATTTATTTTATGCTTGGGTATGCAATTGCTTATAATAGGAAGACTTTATTGCTAACATGAAGATCTCTTTAATCTTTTTTAAATGATGCACTCAGTGCATGGCTAACAATAGTCCTCTGCCTCTATTCCAAGATCTGATCATATCTGTTAATATGAGAGAGGAGGGATACAGTGTAATTGGTCCAACTCCTGGATCTCCAAGAATGAACTAAAACATTGTTATTGTCACAAAGATTATTCAGGTATTGGCATACAAAGAAAAGCTATTAAGAGCAACAACTATGTACCACTGGCGATATGAAGTAATCAACGACATTAATATCATCCAAGACAAAACAGAGATAGATATTTAATGAGAACAATTAATGTACCACCCTTAACCTTAGAAATCTACAATTATAATATAAACCCTAAGACAAATCAAATATTGACTTCAAAACTATACCTCCACTAATGATAAAAAAGAATCAATAGTAGTAACATAGCTAACTATCTAAAGATTAATAAAACTTAAAGTTTATACTATTAAAGACAGAGGGTTGGATACAGGAGAAAGCAAAAAAAATTTTGAAATATTAAGCAATGAGAGATGAGGAGAAAAAAGTTGGACAAAGGATCCTAATATAGAGCAGAAAGATTTTTATAAAATTACATAAAAGTAACAAATGAGAAAGAGAAGACAAAAGAAAAAAGGAATAATATGAAGAATATACATAGAAAAATTTAAAAGATAAGGAGGAAATAAAAGAAAAAAAGAAGTGAGAAAAAGAACACAGAGAAAACAATGTCCAGAACAGAGAACAAAAATTTTTTCTCTGTATTTTTTTTTTTTTTTGGTACCGGGGATCGAACTCA